CAGTGAATTCATTCAAATGTCAAGTCAAATTAAACAAATAGCACACTTATGAGGGGACTTTGAAGAAAAAAGAGAGAGATAAATTAAATCAAAATTTATCAAATGACGTCAGTTCAATGCATTCAGCTCACTGGTCAATAAAAAATAAATAAATAGAAAATAAAAATTGAAAATGAAAGTACCATATCTGGCCCAAGTCTGGGCAGCATCTGGCAAAATGTGGCGTAAATGCCAGACTTTGCCAGACTTGGCCCAGATCTGGCAAGTGTCTGGCAAAATGTGGCATAAATGCCAGACTTTGCCAGACTTGGCCCAGATCTGGCAAGTGTCTGGCAAAATCTGGCCCAGATATTGCCAGACGTTGCCAGATCTGGGCCAGACGTGGGCCAGATTATTGAGGCTGTCTGGGTTGTGTGTGGGATTGTGCCATTGAGCAATTTTCTTAAAGAATTTAGGAGACTGCATGTTTTGATTTTTAATGCAAGGTGTATGATATAAAAAGCTGGTTTTCAGAGCTGATGTTTGCTAACTTTTAAAACTGTGTGTACCAATCCATTAGGCTACGTAATTATTTCTTTTTACAAAATACATTACAGAATCTGATCTTTTTTAATTACAAAAGCACACTATACGATAAATGATAGTCACTTACATTGACAAAAATGAAAAAAATATTTTCATTCACTGTCCTCGTCTCTTTCGCTGAACTACAATGACATTATAAACCATTGTCATTCACTGATACAGTGATGAAATTAATTTTTAAAAAGGCTGTTACTGGATATTACAACAGATGTGTTAATGATTCCAGGTTATTCTTACAATAAATCTAAATTTAAATCAAAATTTTTCAGTTCCATCAAATGTCAGATCATGTGATAAGACTGAAGTCCTATACATGGGCAATTTAAACAATCTACCTTTTTTTCTTCAAGTATTTCAAACAATGCAATCATTTGTCAATTCATCTGTAAAGTGCCACCCACTAATACACAAGTTATGATTCTAGCCAATCCAGGTTAAAGAAGGATTACAAACAGAAAATTTAATTCCCTTGATAAATGTGCTCTATTGACACCATAATGTGTATCTAATGTGCCTTATCAAGATCACAAAAGCGTTCATGTTCAATATTTTGATTTTTCTGACTTTTGTTTACAATATATTCTCCATGCGCTTCTACAGTACTGTTATACTGTATACACTGGAGCTCTCATGGGTAAGAAGTTTCAAAGTAACTAAGTACACTAATTTCTTTAAATGTTGAAAATTATTTTATTTGGCTAAAAAACATATTTAAATGTCTTTTTTTTTTTTACTTTGTAAATCACTTTTTTTAATAAATAAATTCCATTTTAGTTGATTACATTTTGTTAAATGAAAAGCTAAAATTAAATCAAGCACTCACCATAAACTAAACTCTCCAGTGTTTAGCCCTGCCACTGATTTTCCTTTATCATCAAATATTTTGTATATGTTATGTGGTTCAACCCTTACTGCAGTGCAAGTATCTTGATAGGGAACCACTTGCAGATTTTTTTTAATAAAACTTTTCTGTAGTTCTTGGTGCATTTACTCTTGCTTGAGGAACAAATAAAAGAACAAAGGCCGAGTCCAGAGATGCTGCTTTACTTCAAGAAATCCACCTGTTTCTAAGTGTTTATAGAACTGATGTAGTTCCTTTCAGCAAATGTCACAGTCCCCTTTCTGGACAAAACAAACAGGACTCCAAGGTAAAAGTGCACAGGTACTCTTTTGTTTGATTACAGATTCAAAAGTAAATCTTTTCCTAGCTATTAGTAAAATTTAAATACTGCACATAGACTACAGTCACATAGTCCTCCCCATGTCCTTACAATTTACATCACATTCACAAAATCCACAAAGATCCTTTTTGTTTGAAGAGCAATCAGTGTTTTTGTCTCCACTTGTAAATGGCACTCAGTTGGCTGAATTTCTAATGGAGAACCAGCTAAAAGTTGGGTAAATTTACACAAGGTGTATTGCTGGTAAAATGTGCTAATTCTAGACAATCTATAATATTTGCGTTGATGGAAACATGATCTTTGGAAACCGGGAGTACACACAACAGGCGGAAGGCACAGACTGATATATCAAGACAGAGATCTTTGGGCTCAGAAGTATATATTGTCTGAGTAAATATTGGTTTGTAAAGAATATAAGTTTGGTGGCATACCCCCTATTTGACTGTCACAGCTTTCTTTCAACAATTGGTTCTCCAGTGAAAATTTCAGCAAAAATTCAATTTCAATCAGCTACACTCATCAAGCTTTCGAAATCCCATTAAGTCTTAGGTTATATATTAATACTCCAAGCATTTAATATACAGTACCTTATGTATAACTGTGGCAACTGCTGGGATGAAATAGTGTATCATTAAGCCTTTGACTTTAAGTATTTTAGGGCAATATACTGTATGGCGAAGAGTGTATTCAGAGAGAGAGAGAAAATGGGGAGTCAATCGCAATTAAAAAAAAAAAAACACTCACCTGAATATAAAATTCACCACTATCCATTTTAATTAGTTCAAATAAAACATGCCAAATCAACACAAATCAGCTAAAATATCCACTGCATGGCTTTTCAGTTCCATTTTTGCCAACTTGAAACATGCATCTCTGTGTCACAAAACTTTTCCACCATTTTCACATCAACTTCAGAATCAACCCTCAATAATCACTTCTCTTGAAACCTTAACCAGTTTTCTTATTAAATTCAAAATCAACTCTCAATAACAATCTCCTCAAAGGGCATACAGTAACCTTTTCAGCATTATTTACAACACACTTCCTTGCTACACACCTCCCTGTAACTTAACAACACAGTACTAATCCAGTTCAATCTTATTTTACATAATGACCAGCTTTATATACATTCATAAAAATCTGACTTGAACTAAATCCATTGATTCACCCATAATGATGGAGTCACCTGCATATAAATGTGGAGCAATTAGCGTCACCATAACACTAAAGCACAGTAAGCATAATTTGTTTTCACGCAAAGCTAATCATATTATTTAAGTAAGAATTATTTTTACTGTAGGATTATGTACAGGTAAGACTTTTCACTTAGTAATGATTTTTCCTTTCTTTATAAATTTTAAACTCATAAAATCCTTTTTGAATTTCAGAGCACACTTTAGTAAATGTCTGGGATGTTTAATTTATCTAATTCAAAATGATTATTTTTCATTAAAGAATTCGTCTAAAACCTTTTCTCATCTCTGTAAATCTTTTAACCTACTTGGGTTTCCATATATACTCATACTTCTTGAAGCCAGCAAATCAGAATTTAATACAACTAATTGCGCCTAACTCACCTACGTCAGGTCTGACACCTCATACACATAGTGGAGCAGATGTTATCTTTTGTCAAACAGGTGGTTGGTTTACAGTCTTCAAAAATGTTGCTCTCAGGCCACAGAGAAAAAATGAGCATTTGTTGTTGCAGGAGAAAAGTAGTCTTTTACTACACGTCCATAGTTTGTAAATATTTATGATGTGGCACAATAGCAAACAATTGTTGTTGTCCTAAAAATTGTAGAAGACTTTACGATATTTTTTTTTTTCAGTTCACATTCTGCTCAGTTTGGATGGAAATGGCATAATAAGCATAGAAAACTTTACCTTTGAATAGAGAACAATTATGCTCACTTTGTGAATAAACCTAGTTTGTTATTTTTGGTTTATCTGAACCAAAAGGAAAACATGACCCATGTTTGTTTGTCAAAACTTATTCAAGTGTGCAAAATGCTACAAATAAATGTTGCAGGTGAATTTCTTTGTTTTCTTTTGGTGTTTATTATTTTAACAGCGATGGTGTAGTTGACATTGTTGTGAGTTGAGATTGTGCTCGTCACAACTAGCACACTGCACTGTGCAGTGTTGCTAACTATAGTATACTGTAGTATTCTCAACTTAGACTTGGTATCACAACCCTGTGTTTTTACCTATAAAAGGTCTACTGAAGGATTGATTTTCATTGTGCATTTTTTGACACTTTTTTACTGTCATTCTTGTATCGACTGCTTCATAGATTTTATATATTAAGCAACTGAGTCTGAATTTTTGTGTCATAAAAAACTTCAAGGCGTATTAATATCTGGTAAAATTAAATTGTAGAGGATAAAGTTAGAGAAAATAAAATAAAATAAAAATGTGACATATTTTTATATCCACCCAATATGAAAAAATTTAATATGAAATTGAAACCCTTACCTCTCTGTCCTTCTTCTCCTTTTCATATTTTTCTGTAAATTCTTTTAGTTCCTCTAGTTTGGCAGCAAGAAACTGTCTCTCTTTTTCTCTGTAAAAAATAAATTAATCAATTAGTAATTATCTGATTAAACAGCAGTTCTGATGTATATTGACACTGCAAGTATTCAACTCCCTGAAATTAAACAAATACTTAATTTTGTACTTTATATGTGCTCTCTCATTTTAATAAAGGCATGCATCTGTAGCTAATGAACATATTTAGAATTATTAAAATATAATAACTATTTTGAATCATTATTGTGGCATTTCAATTGAGTACACACACACACGTTATCGAAAATATTTATAAATAAAAAATGTATCCATGTGTACAGAAATGCTATGAACATTTCTGACAGTGCAACAGCATATAAAACGAACACTAGATTTTTATATGAAGCTGAAATGAAAATGTATGCTGTACAGGTAGAGAATGATGATAGTGACAGTGATAGTGACAAAAGAAAACAAACCACATACTATTTAAAATTTCATGCTAATTACTGGCATTATTCTACTCTTTTAATTTCGTCATATTTTTTTATCCTAAAACTGTTTGAAACCCACAAAATTTTGTCTTCATCTTTCCATACCACTGGTTTACATGTAACAAACAAAAAGAGAGATGTTAACAGCAGAGGCAATTTTGGAAAATAATTATTTTTCACTGCCAGCTTCACATTTTCAAATAGTTTTCCTCCTTAAGACAGGGCTAGATGAAAACAAAATCACAATCAATGATTATGATTTTTCTAAATTAAATCAAATTTCACATACTGTTAAGTTCAATTAAAACAGTCAGTCAAAACACCCAAATTTTATTAACACAAATGTAACATGCCTTTTTTTTTTTTTTTTTTTTTTTTTTTTTCGGATCATTCAATAACTGAAAATAGGGACATTTGCACTTGTGAAGCAAAAATTTTCCATGAAGGTTTCAGAATGCAATGTTTAATAGTCCTCCATCAAACATTTGGTCCTTACCATCTGCTGATGGAAATTATCAAAAAAAAGTTAAGTTTTTATAGCAAATAATTTGAAATAGAGCTGCTGAAATTTTACAATAATTGATAAAATATCACCTTTCTTCCTCCCTCTTTTTGTTTATAATCTTCTGGACAGTATTGGTCAAAGATGTTGTCCTTCTGCCATTAATATTCCATTTACTGGTGATTCCACTGACCCCAGTGTGGACTGACCCACCACCTCTTGGGGACAGTCGTACAATGTCACGTAGACTCGTTCTATTTTGAGACATTTTCATTTGTTAAATAATGGTGAATCTATCTGCCTGGTAAACGAATCCTTCTGTATGCACCTGTGTAGGTCCTATTGCAAGTGTCGTTATTAGTGACAGTCATCAAAGTTCAGATACGCTCTTCTTTGACAATTTAACAGTCACTATTCAATCATTATTTTCAATTTGTTAGTAAAATAATCTTGCATCTTCATAATTTCAATCCAGTGTGCCTGATGACTTGTTCAGCAAAATACAAATTCCAGCAGAAGTTCACCATTACTTGAAGATGAAGTGTTATAAAAACTCTCTTTCTACAAATTTTTTTTTTTTTCAAACAGCCATGTCCATTCTTCTAAATTCCCTGGTCGCAAGTCTTGATCCTTAAGTTTTAGGTCAATGAAAATATTGTTTCAATATTAAATGTCCTAAACGCTATTAATATTAGCACCCTCAGTAACAAATGTGTATGTTTGACTTTCCCTGTAGAATGTGACCTCGTAATACCGAGCAACTAAGCTTTTTAATCGGCCAATGAACACTTTCATGTTGAAGGATGTCAACTCCAGGGGGGACACACCACTTTGAGCTAGGTAGGTCCTCTACATTGCCCATCAGTAAATAATGTAGAATTGATATAAATATAGGTTGACCTTTTAGACGTTTTCATCATTTTCAGACTTTTTTGGTCTAATAAAAGCAAACTATATTAAAGTGAGTTTGTAAACTATTTATATATATTTTATTTTTTCATTACAAAATACAGTATTGAAATTAAACATGTTGAGATCTTCTAAATTTTTTTGTACTGAGCCCCACTCTGACCTATGATTACAAGTTCCACCCCTACTGGCCGATTGAGGCAGTCTTCTGGGTCTTCCAGAAGATGGTCAGATTTTCAAGTTTACGATTATCTAATTTTTTCTGTTGGAAGGAGGATGGAGGATGGATCAACAAAGATCATTTGGAAGACTGTCAAAAAATAGCTCTGGATCCAACCATGACCCCTCCCTTCCTCCCTTAATTATTATTCTTGGGTTCAGCCTCTCTGGTAAACCACACCCACCCCTCCCTCCCCACCCCAGGGTTCAGCCTCTCTGGTAAACCACACCCACCCCTCCCTCCCCACCCCAGGGTTCAGCCTCTCTGGTAAACATATCTCTCCACTGTGTCAGGTTACCCAGGAAAAGTCAGCGTCCTGTACTGGGTGAAGTGCTCTGTTGACAGGGCCATGCAATGCCACTTGATCTCTCTTTGATCCCCGTAAATACTCAGTATAATCCCGTGAAGCTGTACAAAGAGTTGGCCATTTACTGTCACTTTATCCCCTGTTGACGCAATTGACTATAAGGTCCTCAAGATATCCTCAACAAAGTTTGAAAATGTGTGACCATGTACCTGCACTGTTGTCCATAAATCTTGAACTAATCCCAAATTGAAGTATCTTTTCCTCCCAAGTTTAATATAAAACTAAATGCAGTAAATTATGCTTCTTTAAATATATTCTGATAATAATATAATACCTCATTGCTGTAAAACTGAGTTTTAAATAATTCTAGGTTGTTTACTTAGCTAAAATTCTGTAGTGTTGAAGGCGCACCTAAAAGGCAAAGATCAATAAACTGTCCACTCTCGCTGCTCAAGGGACAAGCACTTTTTGACAGCCCTGTTTGCTGATGTCATTGAGATGTCAACTTTTTCACCATTCCTACATATTTTTAGATGATGAATCTCTTATCTGTGTACACAGTTTCCCTGGCTTCTGAATGTTTTCATTGGTAACCTTCAACTATTTAAAATTACTTACATTTGGTAATTACTGCTTACAAAGAAACATACACACAAACACATGCGCGCACGTGCACACACACACACACACACACACACACTCTCTCTCTCTTGCTAGAGTTTCTTCTAGCTGCTGTGGTTTAGCATGTATAATGTCACACACAAGTACACCAACACATGCATGCACACACACACACACACACACACTCTCTCTCTCTCTCTTGCTAGAGTCTCTTCTAGCTGCTGTTGTTGAGCATGTATAATGTCACACACAAGTACACCAACACATGCACACACACACACACACACACACACACTCTTACCTCTCTTCAAGCTGTTGTTGTTGAGCCCGTATAACATGGGCAGGGGGTGTTTTCTTGGCCTGTCCAGTTTTCTTGTTGAACCAAAAACTTCCTGCTCTCGGGCTGGACATCATGCACCAGTCATTCTAGAAGAGAGAAAAAACATTTCTCCAACAGCTATTATTGTCTTCACATTAACTGCAATTCATAAGTTTCTCTAAGTTCCTGCTCTTAAATTTTCTTATTTTTGCACTTAAAAACAATTCAATACCTTCAATGTTTTTCGGTGCCAGTCTTAAAAAACAATTTGTGTTCATCATTCATAATCAATCAACTTACGTGTACAATACTAGTAGATCAACATATAATGCTGGTTTTTAAAAAATCTGTAAAAATATCTGTTTCAGAAAATTAATATGAAGTTTTTCCTTCCAGATGTCCTTCTCATGGTTATAAGTTAAAATGCTTGGCGCAATGACCCATCTCCCACATGTCACTGACATCTCTGACGTCTCCAACAGTTCATCATTGTGACAAACTTATTGTCCAAAACCAAAACAGCAAGCTGCACTCAGTTAAGTAAATGCCAATCCACTAATTGACTTGCAATCAAGAGAAAACTGATACGAAAATATATTATCTGGTTTTGTTGACAGAGCCAAGTTTATCCTATTGAAGTGAATCTGTGTTTACACAAATGGGTTAATATCAAGTTGATTGTACCAGCATCTAGTTGTCCTCTCTTTCTTGTTTGACAGCAGAAAAAGAAATAGCTGTCATATTTTTGTCTTCCTTTGCTTCACTTAGGAGGTTAATGGTCTTTTTTCTGGTTATAGTAATCATCCAGTGTGCAATTCAGATATGATTAGTTATACAATGTAGATCAGTCGAAACCTTAAAGAAATCACCAGACATGTCAATATGGAATTAAAGTACATCTGCTTCCCACATGCTTTATCTTTTAATTTTCAATGGTTGTATCACATGGAAAAAAGCAGAAAAATATCCCTTATAGGTATATGGTAAACTGTCTGCAAACTGTTCAATACATGTTTTACTTCATATTTTCCTTTTTGTTACTTATCCTCTAACTTAACTTATGATCAGGTAGTAGGCTTAATATATTATTATCTTTTTTACTGATTCAAGGTGACACAGTAACTTTCCACAAACATTCTATATGATAGAAGTATTGACTAAGCCAAAAAATATTTTGAAATAACATAATTGTCACATGTATTTTGTCTTCTAAATCTCAGGAACTTATATGTACAACTTGATAAGAATGAACTTTTAACTGCATGAGCTCTGATGCAAAGCCCAGTCAACTGGAAAATGATGTATTTAATTGTTTGGGCAGCATGTTGTCCCTGAGGGGATAAACATATGTACTCTGTTAGATTGTTTCTCCTAGGGGACTGGTCTTGAAGATTAGAGAATTTTTTAAGGTAGCAAGCATTGTTCACTTTTTTTTTCATGAAACTAATTGTACTTGAAGTTTGCAAATAATAAATAAATAAATAAACAAATTAGTAAAGTTCAAGTAGCCTAGGTCCAGGTACATTATTCTGAACAACATTCATGCAAGAACAGTTAAATATACTTTGGATTTATGACTATTAATGCACGTCGAAGTTAAACAAACTCATACATCCCTTCATTTCTTCTTAAAGAAATAAACTAATGTATCAAATCAAAAATATATTGTCAGCATTATTTCTAGAAAAAAATGCTTAACCAGTAGTTATTTTTCTAAAAGGCAATAAGATAATCTTTATGTAGACGATCACCTATTAATTATACCACATACTTCAAAGTGGCAGCTTCCCAATTTTGTTTCTTAGTCACTTCCACTTACTGTTTAGGTGCTATTCTTCTTTTAGAACTTGACTGTCTGCTATCCTACTGAATGTCTCCACATTTCTCTCACTGTTCACTGCCAGCCAATCTTGAGAGAATGATGTTCTTTTTGGAGCTTTTTGGAGGGCACTGATACTTTTGTGAGTAAATACATTCAAATGCATCTGCTCTTTTCTGGTCTAAAACTTATTGTCAGTTTAGTTTTTTCAAGGATAAAAAGTCAACCAATTGGTATCACAGAGGGGGAGGGCAGCTTGAAGACTGAGACCTTTAAAATGTGTTTAGATGGTATTTTAATCTTGAAGTAATTTTTCTTTTCAGTAGCTTTATTTGTTAACCGTAATCAAAAGTGTTATGAATGTCAAAATGTGTAAATCTAGAGTTTTGGATTGAAGGAAGCCTCACTTAACCACCATGATTTAGTAGATGAAACAGTCCTTTAAGATGTCACTGCTTACAATATCAGCCAAAAATGCCAAGTTTGTATTCGATTGCAATACAACAAAGCCCCTGCATTATCAAACACATTTGTGTAACTCTCCAGGGAGAGAATTATCCAACAGACGTGAAAAATCAATGGCTCAACAATATTTTTGACAAACTGGCTGCAAAAATGGTCTCAGTTCGTTTCATTTGAAGTAAATATGAGCATTTCTATCAGTGAAATACCCGGGGTTTGTCTGTCTGGTAACAGATTCAAACCGAAGTAAATATGATAAAAGTAATTCTGAAGCAGTTGTTTGAAGTCCATTAGTCAAGAGCTGATCATCCAACATCCTCATGCTACATGCAGTCTCTATAAAATACGACAATTGCCAGACTTGCAACTAACTTTTTTAATTGATCTCTTTGGAAAAAAAATTCAGTTTAGAATTATCTCTTTTTATACCCCATTGTCCAAATGTTTAGTTACTGTGTTATACATGCATCAAAGCTTTTTATCTGTGTTAAAAAGCAAATGAATGGGTGTCAGAAGTGTTTACTGCAAATTATAGTGTAAATTTTATTGCATCACAGCTGTAAAATAATATGAAATGAACATATAAAAACATAGGCAGATTTAAGTGCAAAAATGCACAACATAAATTATGATAAAATCATTTTTATATTTTTATGAGTGTCTTCCAGTTTATATCATTTCATCAAGACAACATACTGACAGTGCGCAGTTCAATATCTGGCATTAAAATGGATAAAAGGAACACTTGGATATTCATAATAACATAAGCCAAGAATAAGAAAACCCTATAAAAACACTTCCTGTGCTGATTTTACCCTTCTATAAATCATCCATGTCATCTAGTGCACTTTAAACACTGTATACATATCTACCTTCATAACATTGACTAATAAATAACACAGCACACACCCAAATAGTCCTCAAACAGACCCAAGTTGGGTTTCCATTGAGGTTTGACCTATCTCAGTATGATTCATCTAAGCAGCTCATCTGATTATGAATAGCTCACCTTAGACAAAAAAACCTAATCCCTCTGTTGTGCCACCTACTAATAAATTTCATAGAGTAACTCAAGTGCCTTTGCATAGTCTCATACTAAATAAGGTACAACCATAATAGTAAGAGTCACTCTATTAAAACAAAACTGTATGGTAACACAACTCCGGTATTCTTCTCAATGCAGAACAACTGAATGTAATCTAGCTTTAAAAAATGGGTTTATTGTAAATCATACTACTAATGAAAGAAAAACTGTGGAAAACAAAAAAAATAAGTAGTCTGTTGAATATGTCAAGCTCAATTAATGTTGAAGGTTATGACTGTAGAAGAACACCAAAGAACTCACCGCTCCTTCTTCACGGGCTCGATAGATCATACAGATCAGTTGTTTAGCAACAGGAATAAACTCTTCATGACTGACTCTGACTCGCTTGGAGCTAGAAAAAATTAATAAACAAAACTTGAGATAATCAGTAAAGAATGGTTTGGTGAAAAAAATATACTGAACTAAAAAATTATTTTGCACTCAGAGCAGGAATCAAAACCATCAACTGTTGATATGAATTATTGTTACTGTGATATAATTAAGAGATAAAAAAGGTCATCCAAAAATATTAGGTTTCACAACAAACTGAAATCACTGTCTTGGTGTGACATTGTATTTGGTCGTTAAAGTTTGCTGGGCGTGGCATTGTAATAGATGTGACAGTGTGCTGGGTACTATTGTCAGTGTATTATTGTCAGTGTGATATAATTAACAGGTAAAAACTCTTAAATTATACAATGATGCTAGTTTCCACATCAAACTGAAATCTTTGTTTTGATGTGACACTTTGTTAGATGTAACATTGAGCTGGGTGTGACATTGTGTTAGGTGAGCCAGTGTGCTGGGTGTGACATTGTGCTAGGTGAGCCAGTGTGCTGGTGTGATGATGTGTTAGGTGTATCACTGTGTTAAGTGTAACATCCTGTCATGTGTGGCATTGTGTAAAACAATAAATTTAAAACTCACCCAAACACCTTAGTAATTTCCTTGAGATCTTCGTCAGTAAGTCTGAGACTGAATGCAATAGAACGTAGCACCTGTCAGTAAAAAGTGGAAAAAATTGAATGACATTTTTAATGACATTATTTTAAACCATTTTGAAAAAAATGTTTTAAACAAGGCAGCAAAGCTGTCAANCCCACAGAAAATTGGTGACACAATTAATTTATGTCAAATTTTACCTAATACACTTTTAATCCACAATACAGCACAGTAGATTGTAATACTTACAGTGAAGAAATCCTTCGCTCCAACTTGACCAGTATGTCTTCTGTCCACTCTGGCCAGAGCAGCGCGTACAGCATCGGCAAACAGGTCATCCGCAAAGTGCAGGTCCAGTACATAGTCCTCAGGGATAATATAGCTGTAGCGAAGAATGCAGAATGGTTATTGTTATGTGTGATGTAATAAAGTCTATTAGGTTAACACACACACACAAACAAACACAAACACACACACACACACACACACACACACACACACAGATGTTTTATCCAGAGTGATTGAGTTTAAGGGAAACTAATATCTATTATCAGTTAGGATGTTTCAAATCAAATCAAATCAAAATTTTAGAAAACTTTTATTTTTAAAAATAAATCCCTGTAGACTTATTTTGAAATATGAAAGTCTAATGAAAATACAATAAGCACAGAGGCCTGCTTATTAATTAAAAGTTCATAAATGGTGTGAAATCTGGGTGGTACATGTATTACCTTGCTTCTCCTGTAACTCTGTTGAAATACAGGGTGTGTTCTCCCAGGTCCAGCTCAACCCAATGGCTCTGGAGGTAAATAAAGATTGCAGAATAAAATAAATAAATATTTTGATTATATTTACATCTTCTGGTATAATTAAATTCTGAATATTTTTCTAAAATATTTTCCTTTTTTTTTTCAATATCTTAAATTGTTAAACTGATTAAACTAATAAAAACATTTGTGTTCGAAGTACTAGTACATGTAGCTTTCTTATTATATTAGAAACAATACTCCTCCCCAACAGTATAGTGGTACATTATGTAACTCTGTGCTTGATCTTAAATTTCATTTTCAAAAGCTAAGCACATAAAATATTTTTATAGCATGACATGTTTTCATGCAACCTTTCCTTCATTCCTTGAATAAATTTGTACTCTAAACAACACTTCACTTTAAATTCCAATACTTCACTTCATTATCCAACACAATTGAAACCATAATAGCAGTGTTCAACCACGTCACACCTATCACAATGTTCACCTCTCACCTTCACTTGCTGGTCCCGTCCATAGATCACTTTCATAGCTTCCACTGCCAGTGGTCTGAAATCTTCAAATGTGACGTTTCCTTCCTGAAATAGCCACAAATTGATATGAACTTTAAAATTATACGAACTTCTAAAAAAAAGGAGAAAAATTCTGCATTGTTAAAGACAAGTTGCAGGAGTTACTTAATCCATTCAACAATTTTTCAGTTTAGGCATTGAATAATCAAACTGACTGCCTACATAAATTATATATATATAATATATATATATATATTGCATCTTCTTACATCCACATTTTATCTTATATATATATATCAAATATGGGAAAGTTAATAATAAATATGTATACAACAACAGCAGCAATCATTTTATTGCATATTTTATTACATAACCTTTTTACTGTCCAGTGATCTTGTCATCTTCTTTACATCATCCCACTTTATATCTATGTCTAAGGTAGGAGATTTCAACAGCTAACAGCACAAAAAAAAACATATAGGCATTAAATAATTTTTTCATTCACCATCTCTTTTGATGCCTTTCATAGCATTTAGTCTCAAAACAAATAAGTCAGGGACTTTCAGCTGAAAATACTTGGAAATAAAAATTGAATTGAACTTTACTTAAATCAATAATGGAAAGCTCAAATTGAATAAATAAAAGTATTCTTTTAATATTTCTGTCGAATTAATACATCAGCATTCCAGTCACTGCAAAAAAATTTTATCTTCATCGTAAGATTATCACAATCAACTTAACATGCAAAAAGTGTTTAGTTTGAACAACAGATTATATGTAAAATTATTGTAAGCAGTAATTTTTTGTCCTATAAAGCAAATTGTATATCCCAAACAATATTTTGTTTGTAAGTCCCAAATTATTGAATTTGAAAATTTATAATGTACTAACAGAGGTTGGTTTAAATTCAGATATTAATTTCTTTCAGTTAAGAAGTTAAAAAATGTTGAAAAGGGATAAAAAATATATCTCAAAATACTGAATC